AATTTCAACTTTACTATAGAGCAACTACTAATAATCGTAAAGTAGTTTATTTTCGGGCAAAAGAGGTTTTTATATTTTTCTTTCAAAAATGGGGATCGCTAAAGCTTTGTATCTACGTAACTTTCAAAGTTTTAATTGTAATTAGGGTTAGGGTTAGTTTTATTGTTAAGATAAGAGCAGATATATAAGTAAAATTTCCTTCTCAACATTTTTTATTAATGTACTAAATAGGTTTAGACTGCTATTTTTTATATTTTCTTGTTTTTTTGATTTTTTAATTTTTTCGAGCTGATCTGTGTAAACAAAATCTTATGATTTTGATTGGTAATCTATATAAAAAAAGTTACGTGGGTACAAGGCTTTAGCGGACCCCCAAAAATAGAAGGTAGCTTATTTTTGGTAGTAGCTTATTTTGAGAAAAATACAGTATATAAGGTAGTATATAAATAGCAAATATATTTCAGCTTTTCTAATAATTTTGAGAGAATGTTAAAAATAGCTATTTATATGTATAAAGTACTATATACAGATTCTTCAAAAACATATTTTATCACTAGCCAGCTTAACTTGAAATTTATAGAAAAAATAAAAACTAATTTAATTATATATACCTAAGTTTATTATTGTATAATTATTTTTTCTTTTTGCTAATTTGTTTATTTATTTATTTTAGATATTGAATATAATTAAATATATTTGTTTTTTATTAGAATTAAATATTTTTTTAATATATACTTAGTTATAAAGTTGGTAATACAAACTGCTAGCTTAACTTGACTCTTAACTAATTTTAATTAAACTAGGCTAATCCTTTTGTTTTGCAAATCAAAACCAAGCTGTTATTCTAATTAATTTGGTCTAAGCCAAACAATGCTCTTAGATAGTTGATTCTATTTTTTTAAAATTTATTATTATCTATACTAGAAATTTACTTTTTGCTAGATCTATTAGTTCACAGCTCTAAGGTCAGCTCAGAGTTTTGAGCCGAGTTATTTTTAATATCAATACTTTATTAGTAAATTTAAAGCTAAGCTATTAAACAACTTAGCTTAGTTATTTGGCTTAGAGATATGACAAAAATTAGATGATTTTTTAGGGGGGAAGAGGGTAAAAAATTTAAAATTATATATAAAGACCTAATCAAAATATATAGTAAGAAGGGGGGAGAGAGGGTAAGCCTCTGATAAAAAAAAATCAAGTGATAAATAACACTGCCCTTACAGCTTGGTTTAAGCTATTTGTATCATTAAGTAAAGTTTTAAAGATTTAAATAATTAAGCTTATAATTAAAATTTTTACATATTTATAAAATGGTATTACTAAATCACACTAGTAGTATTTAACACTATATCAATTTAACCAATAAAATTTTTAATCTGCAATATAACATCAAGATCAGATGTAATGTAAAATCAAAACAAATTTTGTTTTTTTTAAAAAACTTTAATAACTTAAAATTTTGCTTATAAAACCACCTTTCATATTCTAATTAAAAAAAATTTTTGTAAAATTTTGGTATAAATTATGCCTTTGTCCTATTCCAAGCCTTAATACAAACCCTAAGATTAAAAAGTTTAATTTTTGTTTTAATAAAAATTAGTTTGATCTATATATATTACTAGTATTAAACAAGATAATCTTCAATATCAGAACTCTTTTTGATGATCCTCTGGACAATGCAACAAAACTGAACTACAGAAAAATGCTATAGAAAGGTCCAAGAATATACTATTTGTAGTCCTGACTTTGAGTAAGTAGTTGTCAACAAAGTCTGTAGACATGAATTACCAAGGAGCAGACATAACTTAGGCAGTTTTTCTTGAGGTTAAGTTTTTGTATTTTTAGTGGACTCTTCAAAATATTTGGCATCTAAACCAGAAAGTTTATTCTGAGAACTGAACTTATCTTTAATCAGGTTGCTGTCGACGAAGCTTGAAAGATATGAAACACTGAGAAGCAGGCGTAACTTAAGTGGTTTTTCTTGAGGTCAAGCTTTCTTGTATTGTAGCAGACTCTTCAGGTTATTTGGCATCTAAACTAAAAGGGTTATTCTAGAAGCAAGTAGTGAACTGGCCCTCACTGCAATAGTATAAACTTGAAGATACAACTATATGACTGTAAAACTTACAAAAGAACCTCACATACTCTTGTTGGCCCCCACTATTTTTTTTAGAAAAAATTTTGTAAAAAGTGGGCGATTTAGCTTATCCTCTTCAAAAGATTAATATATTGTTTACTTACTAAATTGGGCAGCATTGTTTATATCATTATCTGTTATAACAAACACGTGGATGCAGAGATGTGGATAACTAGATTACGTATCTTGAATATAGCAACTTAGACAAATAATACACTGAGCCCAATAGTGCAAATTTCTAACCTCTCTATAGTACCGATATCAAAGAAGCTTTTTTTTTTGTTTTTTTTAGATTTTAAGTTTAGACATACTGTGCATATAAATTAGTGTAGAGAATAGTTTAGATAGTAGTATGTAATTTTTAAGAAGCCCAATACAGGCTAATAATTGTGACCGTCTAGTATGAGTAAAAAATCTTATATTTAGTTTAGTTTTTTTTTGTTCTTTCCTTTCTTTCTTTTATTTCTTTTATTTGTTTTTTTTATATATTCCTTTATACCTCTGTGTTTGTTTTAAAATTTTTTTTTCTTTCACTTCTCTACAAGAAGATATCATCAGATTGGTGATATTCTATTGTAGGGCAGTAGTCAGACGAGTCTCCGGTTAGAATATTATCTTAATTGATCATATCTTGCTAGTGCAGTTAGGTCACCTGTAGGTGCATATAAATAATCAGTTAGATTATGCAAGACAATCGCAGGATATCAGATCTAGATGTTTAATGTTTACGATGTGTCCACAGATTCGATCTTTATTAAATAAAGATACTGGTACAATCTGCCTAAATGAAAAAAAAAATTACTAGTATTAAACACTACTGGTTTGATTTATAATAACTGTTTATAGAATATAGAAACATCTATATACTATATTATATATATATATATGTGATCTCTTGTTTAAGTATATATCTATGATATAAATCATATGATTTCTGATATTTTCCTTAATAAAGATAATATAAACAATACAAATAGAATAACTGAAGCAATGCAGATAATTTATTAATAGATAATTCACCAGTCATCTGGAGAGCTATGTGATATAGGTTACATGAGATTTATATATAAATTATATATAAAATCTTCAAATAGTAAATGTGAAGATTTTTTAAAGAAATGTAAAAAAAACTTTTTTCTTACTAACAGTCAAGGAAGATATCACACCAACTAATTTTATATAGTAATATTACACAAATATTTGCTGTATACTTTTAGTTTGTGCAAAGAAAAACCACAAAACCTTCTAAATACTTGGTATTCACTCCTTAGTAAAATTTAATCTGCGAGTTTTATTACATTTATTTATAGCTTTTTATTTAATTTAATTTAATTTTTTTCTTTAAAGATTAGAGGACAAAAAAAGTATAAATTTTAGCTTTATCGTCCAGATCCTTTTCACAAAGCTTACTTATATCGAATCTTTTTAATTACAAGCTAATACGAACTACAGGCTATATAGTTACTTATAAACACAAAGTAGGTTTCATTAATAAGTTTTTGAATTATAGTGAATTGAAAAATTTTACTATATAAGTGTATAGATCGGAACGCTAATATAGCAACTTTACTTTTTTTCGATTCAGGTCTCTTCACATTTCTCTAGATCTTTTGTCTTCATTTTGTTGATCTGTATTATTTTAACTTGTTTTATAACTCTTCTTTACTTCTTTTATTTCTTGCAGCCTTGATTCTAAAAATCTTGTATTCTTTCTTCTTCTACAGGGCTAGAACTATTTTTCAGTGGCAAGATGTTTTTTATTTTTATTTTATTATTATGACTATTAGCTAGTATTCGACTATTCTACTTCAGCTCTCTCAGGCTGAAAATTCTATTCAGATAAGTGTTTTCATTTTACTTTTTTGACTTCAAGTCTCTTTTTTGTTTTATGTATTTATTAATTTTCAGCTTTATTCTTCTTTTTCATGTTGCATTTCTCCTTTGAACCTTAACTTTGGGTAATATATCAAGAATTTTATTAGTTTATAGCAGGTGTCAGATTACTCGATATCCTGACTCGATATTAGCAAATATTTCTGCATTAATCTCTTTAATGCCAAAGTTTTTTTTATTTTTATTTAATAGTTGTCTTATTATTTGGTCAAATTTTATTTCCCATTCAGTTGTAAATTCTGATTTACTGAACAAATTTTTTTAAGATTCCAGATCTTGACGTTCTTGAGCAAGACTTGACAATTCAACCGAAAGTTCAAACTGAAATACCAGTCTTAGAGTGGCATGTGCAGATCGCCTTGTGACATCATTAATATTGCCATATTGAAAAACAATATCCTTGAAATCAATATTATTAATTACTGCAACATTCCAAATATTTGGTCCTTTTATTAATTTTGTTAATGGATTATATTTACTAACACGCTCTTTTTCTAATACTGTTTTGTGTTTTTATGTATAGGATGTTATATATACCGAATGAAGCATTGCTTGCAAAGAAGAAATCAATTTTAGTCACTTGCATAAGGAAGTCATAGTAAAAGTGAGCCATATTTTTTATAAACAAAAGGTGATTGTTAAAATAATTGATGCAAAAAATGCTGTTATTTTTTTTATTAGTTTTTTATGAAATTTTGATTCTTTTTGCCCATGCTGTTTTTGTTTTCTTTCTCTAACTGCTTTTTTATGTTTTTCAATAGACTCAACTAATCCATCAAAAAAGTTAATAAGTGCTAAAGGAAAGCTGTTATAATATTCATCTAACGAATTCAGATTTTCTAAACTTTTACGATATTGCTCAATATCTTTACGTGAGTTACATATAAAATTTCCTAATGCTTCTCCATGCTGTCTGTATTCATCTGCTTTTACATATTTTTTATCTGTAGATAAATAATAATCGAATGCATTAATCTTCATAGCGGTTTTTACAAGTAGCGGTCTAGGTAAACAATTTGTTGTATTTGTAGAGGATAACTCATTTGCATTTTGATTTTCTAATAATTTCATCATATACAACACTACTTCTTTTTTTTGATTTTCATTTTCAGAATATGAAAGATTTGACAACCACCGTGAGAATAATTTTAAAACTTGGTTAGTATCATCTTTATACAAGTTGTTTTTAACACATGTTTGAGACTTTTTTCCTTTATGCTTATGAATATGTCCGCTATTGCTTTCAAAACACTTTGCACAGATATATCAGATGCGATAGCCATTAGCAATTCTTGAAGAGATGTTTGTAATTTCTTTAAAAGCGGGACATGATTTTAAACCGATACATGGTACTTGAATATTTCTTCCGTATATACTTCAATTATGTTCTCCACAATCATCACCTCTACTAAAGAAGTTTTTATATTTATTACAAAGTAAACATTTTTTTATTTTAATTACACTCTGACTAGGGTCTCTAATTTGTTTGGCATGAGACGAGTGAAGCTTATTTTAATCAAAATTAAAATGACTAGAACAAACGCCTAAGGTAGCTATGTTAGAATTTTCTTCCTGTGTTAATTCTATTTCCCAAGTTCCAACTAATTGAGATACTGATCTTAGATTATTAATTGAATTACAGCGCCTAATTTTTCCTTTTAAATTATCGATAATAACACAAGGTAATCGTTGATTTTTTTCTATATTTAAAAATTGGTGATCTATATGCTCATCTTCAGATAATGAATTTTCACTATTATCATCATATTCTATTATTTCTGAAGAATCTTGTTCTTCTAACCAATGTTTTGTCTTCATAGCAGCCAAATAATCATGAACGAATAATGGTTCATCTTGGTCAATACTGAAACTTTCATCAAAATCTTTATCCGTAGAATAATTATAGTAATTCTCTATTTTCAATAACAAAACAAGGTTTTGCAAAAAATTTAAAGAGAAGTATTTTTTGCAAATATTTGTAATTTGTTGGTAACGGCAGATAGAGAATATTCGTGCTATTTATATATAATCAAATTGACT